TGTCCGAGCCCACTGATGCGGAGCTTCCTCTAATACCCCACCACCCCACGAAAAAAAACAACAACTAAATATAGCGCAAAATCCAATCAAACCTCCTGACCCTGTTCGCCTCCGCCCGCGTATCCCCCACCTCCATCATCGCCCTCGACATTGACGATCTCGCCGCCTGCCCATCTACCACCAGCGACCCCCTCTCGGCACTCTTGGCCCTCGTTCGCGACGCCGCCCCCGCCGAACGCGGGTGGATATTCGCTATCGCTCGACAACCGCTTGTCGCTGCTCGCTTTCGTGACGCGTTGGGGTGGGGCGCAGGGATGGGCCGGGTGCCGAGTTGAATTGGAACTGTTTACATGTACGCATCGGTCCTCGCTTCCGTGATTCAGTCGGACCGAATCCCCGCCAACGTCTGCGACGAACGATTTGGGGTTCATTCGAGGGGTTGGGGTCTTGGATGGATGAAGTTCGCCGTGCAGAATTGGCGTACCTCTCGCGCATGGGTGAAAAGTTGGCGGCAGACTTCCTTGTTCGCCGGGTGCAGCGGTTCAAATTGGGTAGCCTGCAGCACTTCGAATTGGAGGCTCGCAGTCCCCGAAAGTATACTGTTCTCACGAACTAATTTCCAATGCATGGTCCGGGAATCGAACCCGGGTCTACCGCGCACCTAATGGCAGGCGGTAATTATGCCACTAAACCAACCATGCACATGTTACCTATCTTGACATACACTCTAAACACTTGAAAGGTCCTGGACCCTGGTTGGTGTCCGCAACCGTGACATGAAGTACGCAAGAAGACTCTTTGATACGGTAAGTTGATTGTGATAATTAAATACCAGCTTCCGGCAAAAGCTTTTCATCGCCTAGGAAACTTACTTTGGAAAGCTTTGGGAAACGCGGACGGGGCGGACGCGCCAGGCGAGAGCCCCCGCCATTCGCCCGGCGCCGGCCCTTGGACGCGTAGTGACGCTCACCGCCTGACGCGTCGATCGGAGAGGGGAGAGGGAGCGGACTTCAGGAGCGATCCGGGCAAAGTAGAAAAAGTGTGTCCTACCAGGTGGGTTCGATGAAAAAGAGAAGGCGATGGGGACAGGACCACGACTGTTGGTTTTGTTCTCCGGGTGCGGCCCCCCCTTCGCCCTGCTCAACCAAAGTTCTGTTTAAAGTGCTTCGACAGCCCCTCCACACATTCAGTACACAAATCCGAAACCCCCTTCCCATTCCTCAACACGGGCAGACCAGAAGGACTCGTGAGCCCCCTCGATCCACTCGAAGCCGTCGCTGTCGAGATCCACCTCAGGCAGCCCGAGACCCAACGGCCGAAACTCCAACTCCTGCGGTCCTCTTCCAAAAGAGCAATCATCTTCAGCGGATTCATTTGCTTCTTGCTGATTTCTTTTTGAGGTGTGGATGGGATGAAAGCGGGTTCAGCGAGGCGGACTCGAGGATGAGCATCATCCGGGATCGGGAGGGTGACGATGTGCAGTGGCTGGACTCTCCAACTACTGGGGTTGGAGTCGACGCCGGGGATTCACCGCCGTACATGACCAAGGCTTGTAAATCTTCCACCAACGAGGTGGGTGACCAATCAAGGCATGCGTGAGTGGGGGCATAGGGGGTGGGGATGGCGCGGCGAACAGTGGGGAGTTGTTCAAGTATACGGCCTCATTCACGACATCACTCCAATGCCCAGTTTCTAACGGATGCTCCGGACTTTCAAAAATGGAGTGACGACGACATTGATGCGCACCAGCGCAACTGGCAAGCGTGGATGAGCAATGAGTTTCCTCGCCGGCCATCGTACAGAGAGCTCAGCAGAAAGCTTAAGAGGAATGGCTTACCAGCAATAGAAGGACGGGGAATCGTGATATATGGGGTATGTGAGAGAAGGGGACGAGCCGCTACTGTGCTTGAGACCGGGATGAACTAACTTTGCCCTCATCCACTATGATCTTTTCTTCGGCCACGTCGAACAGCAGTCACGCGCAAACCTCAGATGGATCAACACGATCTTACGGCACCCGACTTCCAATCGAAATATGGTCATTCGCGAACGAAGTAGCAGGTACCGGTGATTGCGCTGCGCTGGAGGGTCTCTCAAGGCCGGGCATCCCGGTCCGCTCGCGGACGGTCGAGGACCCGCGCAACATCTTCAGCATGACTCGCGGCAACGGCAACTCCTACCACATCAGAGTTGCGGCACTAGTGAATTGTGGGTTCCGCGAGGTTCTGGCGATGGACATGGACAACATCCCTATGGTGGATCCCACCTTTCTGTTTGGTTCACCCGAGTTTCGTCGAGAGGGAGCGATGTTTTGGACGGATTACTGGAAGACGCATAGTGAGAATCCCGTCTGGAGATGGATGTGAGTAGGCCTTGCACTCGTTCCCGATGTTGTGAAGCAACGGATGTCAATGGCCCTGATGTATTGACTCTATATTCGACGCCCTTGCAGGGGAACGCCTTGTGTCGACGAATGGGAGCAGGTAAGGGCCATGGACCACTAAGTTACGGCGTAGGGATCACCCGCCCTCTCAGCGGC